TAGAGAGAGTTTCAAACAAGAATGAGTCAGTGTTACTGTTGCATTGCTCCATTTATCTCAAGTACTCACGCAGGGTTTTACACCAAATCATCCATTGTTGAGAAATGAAGGAGTTGTAGCCGTGTCGGTTAAACCTAAAAACAACATTAGGATGCAAACTTATGGATCGTCGTGAGATCTCGTGCACTGAGTATGTGTTGTGAGTGACTCTCAGCTACTACCACACCAAATTTCAACTCAGTACCTGTAAGACTTGCTGTGTTACAACCATTTTTGTGTTGGCTTAAATTGATTAGCTGTGGCGGCCTTCTTGAATCAGATTGACTCCAAAAGTGAAAGAATTGTAGAAAGATTATCTTCTGAAAGTTTCATTAAACTTTATCCAGTGGTTCATGATATTTCTTGTTAACAGACAAACAGGACAACTCCAACAGTTCATGTCAAAGTTTTGAGACATAATGTTGTCCAAAGTACTATGTTAAAATCTTTGTTGGGAAGGAGATTCAGCTACTACCCCACTGAGTTTTAGCTCAATATCTGTTAAATTAACTGAATTATAATCATTTTTGTCATTCCTAATATTAGCTGGCTTTGGCATCCATCTTGAATTAGGTTGACTCCAAAACCATATCAGTTATAGAAGTATACCCAATGATTATTGTTCAAGAGTTTCATTCAAACATGCCTACTGGTTCATGAGATATTTTGTTAACAGACAGACAGTGTTGACTTCGAGTCGTTAATGGTAAAATTTTATAGCAAGATCTTGCACAATCTGTTAGTGCTCAAAACATATGTTGAAAATCAATCCCAGCTACTACCACACCACATCTGAGCTCAACACCAGTAAAACTGACAGAGTTACGGCTGTTTATGTGTTTCAAGGTCAGTTAGCTGTGGCAGCCATCTTGAACTGGGTTCACTTCAAAAGTTAATGAGCTCTAGGTGTAAACCCATGGATTACTTTCTGAAAGTTTCAATAAAATTCATGCTGTGGTTTGCTAACAGACAGACAGACAGACAAAATAAAGTGTAGTCCGAGACAGTAAAGGGTTTAAAGGTGTTTGAAGCTGCAGGACTGCACCTTCCACACTTTATTATTATTTCAGTTTGCAGCTTTAATGTGTTGCAACTGAACGGTGAAGTGAAACGAGTTCAGAAAAAGCAACATGGCAGGTTTGATCAGATCTCTACAGACCAGACACGCTGCTCGCAGTCTGAATTAACAGAGAAATTCTAAAATAACTCACTTATCTTCATTCTACTATACTAACGGACTTCTCAACAATGAACAAACAGTTACTTTTTATAAAAAGATGATTTCAGTTCGGTAGAAAAAAAAGATTAATGTGGCCGGGTGTGGCAAAGTTATAAACAAAGAACCTGTGTGCTCTGTTCAGCTGCAGGGGATCACTCTCACATACCACTTGACCAGTTTCTGCTCAGTTTCTGTAAAAGTAATTCAGTGTGAGACATTTGTGTGCCATCAGTCATGGCTGCCATCTTGAATCAGTACTGACAGAGATGTAAATCAACCCCCCCCACCCCCCACCCCCCAACAACAAGAGAGACTTCTACATTTTATTAAATGGATTGTTTTGTGTTTTATTTTTATGTACAAAACATCTATCCTTCCATCTATCCACCCATCCATCATCCACACATCGATCATCCATCCATCCATCTATCCACCCATCCATCATCCACACATCCATCATCCATCATCCATCATCCATCCATCCATCCATCCATCATCCATCCATCCATCCATCCATCCATCCATCCATCCATCCATCCATCCATCCAACCATCCATCCATCCATCCATCTATCCACCCATCCATCATCCACACATCCATC